ACCCGTTTTGGGCTTTCTTTAAAGGGATACCACCAGATTGGACAACCACCATTTGGGGGGGTCCCCCTATTTTGAGACATCCGCTCGTGGGCACACCCCGTTCCTTTGCTTGAGGATTCCGCAAAGGAGAGGACCATGTTGCGTCCCCAACTGACATGGCCATGGGTCAAAACCAGTGGTACCATTTTGGGATAGGTGCACCACCCATTTGAGAATCAATTTTAGTGGTTGGATTGGGAGGTTCACTGGGGATAACCGATTTGGGTTTTGATCCCCATGGCCACATGGGATTTTGGGGAATGACCACGTTTTTTCGCTGGTAGCTTGGTGTTTTTGGTCCCAGGTCATCCCACTCATCAGCTTCACCTGTCCCCATGACACTCCACTCCACTCAGCTTGATTCGGGGTGGATCGACATGAGCCACGGCTGTGGGCGCCGGGTTTCTACCGCTTGTCCCAAACTCCCCAAAGGGAAGGGTTGCGCGACGACGCACGAAAACCCGAAAACCCGGCGCCTCGTTGTGCCCGGAGTTCCGGGTTTTCAGCTCCCAGACGCCAATGCTATCGTCTGCCAAGAACACTGCCACCACAAACCTGGGCGATGGCTGAGGGGAGCCTTCAACGGCAGCCTGCATGGTGCATTGCGAGATCTTGATGGAGCTTGAAAACGCACCTGGCTTGTCGTAGTGGCATGTCGAGAAAGAGAAAAAGAGCATGTCGCTATACCGCGGTGCCAGGAAAGCGGCGCCAAGAACAAACAGCAATCACCGACTACAACCCACAACAAAACAACACAGCAGCAAGACACACAATAACAAATAATTACCACCACCACCACCACCACCACCACCAGCAGCAGCAGCAGCAGCAGCAGCAGCAGTTGGTCACTACTGCCGCCAGGATGCTTTCGCTTTGAATCCTGAGGAACGCCATTGGCCAGCACAGCTTCAAAGCGTATGACCTGCAGGGCGGTCTCTCTTCGAGAAAAAGCAAAAACTTGGTTCCTTGGGTAATGGGTTTACCATCCACCTGGCTTCACATGATCAAACAACCAAGTTCCAGTCAGAGCAACGGCCCGAACTCCTTGCAAGACCCGCCATGAATCCGGCCTTGTCCGCATCAGCGATCAGTCTTTTCATGTCCTGGCGCACCCAGAACAGTGTAGGAACAGTGCAAACTGGGCGTATTTGCATTTGATGCCATCTGCTCCTCTCTGGGCATCGCAAAATGTGCATGCGATAACTTTTCTTGGATGGGTGTCAAGGATGTGTACAGCATGGTTGCTTGTGGATTGCGCATGTCCCATCAAGATCAAAGCCTGCCGCTGAAAGCACACTCCGGTTTCCTTGAGTTCTGGCCAGGTTTGCCCATTTTCAGCTAAGCACATCCGATCCTTCAGAAAGCCCTGGCCTTAGGTGACATGCTCAAAATGTCCCCCAAATTGAGTTCCAGGTGAAAAGCTGGACAAGGTACAGGGATTTCGGAGCCCAGGCCCTTTGGGAAGACTTGGCCCCCTTCCGACGCTTGAAGCCTCTTGGACTCTTGGATTCATCCGAGCAGTGTCGACCACAGATCCAGAAGCTCAATGTTCGAAGGGCATCCAACTAAATTGTGTGGGGGAACACTCCAATGAATCCGCGTTGATTTTCATGCGGGCCGTCTTCCGGCACGTCAACAAGCCCGTCGGCTCCCTTTGTGGTGGCCGCGGCGTCAAGCGCAGGCAGCTCGCCAGAGAGTCCTGCGAGCTGCGAAATGACTTCGCACGCTGGTTTACCCAGCTATGCGTCAAGATTAAACCACCAGCTGTCATCTTCAGGCATCAAGGGAACTGTAATCTGGATGTTTTTTTTGAGGATACCCCTTTGGCAGGTTTGAAAGGGAAACAAAAAGAGCACCACATACTTTGGGGTCCCCTTTCAAAAACGAAAACACACCACCCATATCTACTTTCGCCCAACCGTCACCACTGCAACTACCCATGACTCTGCCAACCGCCTAAAATGACGACAACACCATTACCACCTAAGTTCGACGGGGGAAATTCGAGTCCTGGTGGTGTGGTGAATCTTTAGAGGGTCCCTGAAAGCTGACCACTACTACTGGACCCTAGTTGGCCATGGGTCAAAACCCAAATCGGTTATCCCCCAGTGAACATCCCAATCCAACCACTAAAATAGGTTCTAAAATGGGTGGCGAATTCACCAATCCCCCAAAATCTTAGCATTGGTTTTGACCACCACAGCTTGTTGCAAACGTGGCAAAGAGATTCGCCCCATGGACTTGACACTTCGTTCCGGCCGGATGTTCAATCTGAGCCCCATCCCTTCTGAACAGAAATCGGGTGCCACAAAGCATCCAAGTCTGCTAGAGCAGCCCCGGCCGCCCAACAGAAAAAGCTCCTCTTCCGAGCCGAAGCCCGTGTGGGGCGGGTGCTTCAGCTTCACGTGGACCTTCAGAAAGAAAAACACCAAACCAACGAACCAAGGGGGTGAGCAGGCAGGGAGGCAGGCAGGCAGGCAAGCAGGGCGAGCCCTCCATCCGATCCCGGTCAGGAAGGGGTGAAAGCTAGAATGACAAACCGCTTCTGAGTACCCTTTTGCGGGCATCATTTGCAGGCCGGATTTACATCCAGCAACCCTTTAAGGTCACTAAGATGAGTCATAGCCCTCTCTCTCGCTCTCTCTCTTGCAGCTGTCTGCAAGCCGAGCAGCCAGTCGGGGCTTGCGGATGGAAATGGAGCCCTGCTCAAAGCCCAAGTACTCCCGGTAGAAGTCCTGTCCCCCCAAAAAACCGGGATGAGCTTCGGGAGTCGGAATTAATTCCAGGGTAGCCCCATGAACTCCCAAGGATTCTTCTCTTCCGACTCCGAAACACCCAGAAAACCCAGAAGGTCTTCGAAAAGAACCAGGGTTGAACAGAATGGACAACCCCCGGAGTCGAATCTGTGTTGATTTCCCCTTTCACCTCACGCCCGTGGCATCGGCAAGTCTACCTTCCTCGCGTGATTCGCAGCGCCTGAAAAGGTGCCAACGGATCTGGGTCTCAAAATCGCACTGAAACCAACCAACCAACCAAACCAAACCAAACCAAACCAACCAACCAACCAACCAAAAAAAAGAGAGGAATATAAACAAAAAATGACGGACCCATTCGCAACGCCAAGCAGTTCCGGTTCGGTCTCGCGTGAATGCGTCACAGTCGTAGAGGTAGATCTCGCGGCCCAAGACGTCCACAGTCTGCGTCAAATGGACTGGAACACTTGAAATCAAGGGGTCATTTTGCCACTTGTAGTGCAGCATTCTTTGTTGAGGGGGTCGCCGATTTTCTCAAAAGGTGGCAAAAAGACCCCCCGACCCCCCCAAAAAAAACATTCAGCGATGGCAACTGACAAAAAGACGCGCATGATGTGAAAACCGCTAAGTAACCCCCCCCAGACCTTGCTCTACCTTCGAGCGAGGTGGTTCCTCCTTGCCAGGGATCATGAGAAGCCCGTGCAAGACAGGTGCAAGACGGGTGCCCGTCCGAAAGCAAACCCGAAGTTTATCAAGGTCCAAGCCGGGCCCTTCAGCTGAAGGCGTCTGCGTTTTTTTTTGCGTTTTTTTCTAGAGGGAAGGCAACCCGCGCTTGTGCGGCGCACAGGGGTCTCTCTGTCTTTCTCTCTTCGTCCAAAAAACCACCGAAAAATTGAGAGCCGCGCCTGTCCCACGACCAAATCGTGCGGCTTGTAGACGATCTGACGCAACCACGGCTTCAGAACGCAACGCTTCAAGACTTCGTGGCCTCCAGTGTCCGATCCCCTCTGGCTTTGCCATTATGGTATCGCTTATTTAAGGCGAAAGCCAAGGTTGCAGATCTTGATGAGCAAGCTGTAGAGGTGGAATCTTGTCCACACAGGAAATCTCATGTTCAAGTAAATTCTGCTGAATCCCTGAATGTTGCGACTTGAATCCCATGATTACAGAGCATGCAACGTAAAAATGAGTATGGAATGTTCTTCTCTGTCCCTCGTTTGGGAACATGGGGGTTGATCAATATTCCCTTCGGCCCCAAATGACCATGGGTAACTTTTCCGACTTAGTGGTTGGCAAATCATCTTTTGAATGGTCATCCCATGTTTTACGGACCTTTTGATCCCCCACATGAGTCGCAATCAAAACCCGGTATTAACATGGTTGACCCAGAGCCATGTAAGGAAATACAAAGGCGGCCGCAACTATATATGGCTGGGATTGTCCCTTACTAACCTTCATCTAGCCGGGTTTTGATTGTAGCGCACCCCCAATGGTCATCCCATGACCTTTTGATCCCCGACATGATCATTGCTTGCGCTTGGATCCGCGTCACAGGCCCTCACCTCCCGCATCTCCCGACTCAACCGAAAGCTGCCCGCGCCCGCTCGTCCGGCTCGGTCATTCCCGGCGTAGCCGTGATGTTCTGGCGGGACCAAAGAAAGAAGCCATGCAGCTGCTAGGGGTTGATTCCTGGTCCATTCTTCTCAACCATCGTTCTTTCCAAACTCGGACCCGTTTTCCCGATCGGGTTTCCGGAGGTTTTCTAGAAAGAAGGATCCCTGGGAAGAATGCATTTTTTTTCATTGAATGCAGCATTCCTCACTTCCTGAGTGGACTGGCCCAAAAGTCCAAGCTTTGTGCTCGCCACCAAAATGGATGATCTCAGGGAGTGAGATTCGAAGGACCAATTCGGTCTTGTGGTTCGCTGAGGAAAGATGTCTATAGAAGGCTCCTGTCCATTGGCGGTTCAAGCTGAATGCTTCGGCATTGGCCTGAAATGGGATCCTTCCATTTGGCCATGAGGCGATGCTTGGCGATCTGATCTTGCTCACTCAACCCCAAGCCGCAGGCGAAGGAGCAAATACCTTCGCCGGAAAATCTTCAACTCAGCCAGCAGCGCCGGATGCTTGCAGAGCGGAGACCGTCGCCAAAAGGTGGGGTATGGATCGCGCCCAGAGTTCCTGCAGCACTGAAACCACACCAACGCGCGCATGACATCGGCCATGGGCGCGCAAAAAGGCACGGACCAAATCCGGTGATTGCCGGATCCCATTCGCAAGCCTCGACATGTTTTCCAGAATCTCGGCCGTGTCATCTGCCAGGTAGTAGTGCAGCGTGTAGTACCTGCCATCGTGTCTCGAACAACTTAAGTCCAGGGCGCCTCGTTCATCCCAACCATCCTGACCTCTGCGCTGTGCTGGTTTAAGGGAGTGGCACATTGGGTCGAATTGAAACCAGTGCCATGACCCACGCTTGCGCCCTGCGCACAAGCGCGTGCCATACTTGGTGGCGTCATCCCAAAAGCAGTCGAAGCGCAAGACCTCAGAGCATGCAGAAGCTTGGGGCCGTGGCATGCTCCCTCAAAGGTGACTGGTCAAAAGAGCGGTTGGCCATGTGGAACGACAGTTTGCCTTGTGCGTGTGTCCTTCAGCTAAATCATCCCCAACTGAAAGGAAGCCTGCACTTCGATGGGTCCACTTGACGAAAACATCCTTTGGCTTACTCGGCTTTCCGGCTCTGCGGTCGTTGTCCAAGTACTGCTCCAGCTTAGCGTTCTTGCGGTTGCCGCCAGCAGATAGATGATGGTACTGTCCAGCGAGCATTCTCTGGTCTCGCTCACATGGTTTAGCGAGGCAAGTACAATGCTGGCAACTGCGATTCCCACAGCACAAACCTCAATCAACACCCATCTTTGTCTCACGACCTGTTTTGCTCACGAATCGGCCAGATCTTCGACTAGGAGTATGTGAGCACAAACCTGGGGAGGGAGAGCTTGATATTGACAGGACCTCTTGCCGAACGGACTCAAAACGGATCATGCTCAAACATGGTTTGAAGCTTACAGAGTGCACACATGGCGCGTATACCCCCTTTTCCGGGGTTGTGTTGAAGGGAAAAAAACCAGAGGGAAACCACGCATCATTGTGGTTCCCGTTTTAGACCCAACCAACTCCCGTGGCTCATCATGGCTCGCAAGCTGCGAGCAGAGGCACCTCCTTGCTCTCAGCCAGGCTGGCGCTTCGAGTGGCCAACGACACGGGATCCTCCTGCGGCTTGGGACCCGACGATTTGGTTCAGCCACCAAACCGACAAAATCAAGAAAACGCAGCAACAACCTGGAACAAAACCGCTTACCAACTGGTGCAGGATTTTGTCACGCAGCAACAACCTGGAACAAAACCACCTACCAACTGGTGCAGGATTTTGTCACGCAGCAACAACCTGGAACAAAACCACCTACCAACTGGTGCAGGATTTTGTCACGCAGCACCAACCTGGAACAAAACCACCTACCAACTGGTGCAGGATTTTGTCACGCAGCAACAACCTGGAACAAAACCGCCTACCAACTGGTGCAGGATTTTGTCACGCAGCAACAACCTGGAACAAAACCACTTACTACTGTAGTTGCAGGATTTTTTGTCCGCACAGCACCAACCTGGAACAAAGCCACCTGCCAACTGGGGTGCAGGATTTTGTCACTGCAGCAACAACCTGGAACAAAACCACCTACCAGCTGGTGCAGAGTGTTGTCACGCAGCAACAACCTGGAACAAAACCACCTACCAACTGGTGCAGGATTTTGTCCGCCTTTCCAACCTGGAACAAACCTTTAACTGGGTGGGATTTTTGTGGCAGCAACAACCTGGGAACAAAATAGCCTACCAACTGGTGCAGGATTTTGTCGCGCCAGCAACAACCTGGAACAAAACCACCTACCAACTGGTGGGATTTTGCTCAGCCAGCACATATGTGCTTGTTTGTCCAGACCCCTAGTGACTCCACACATGATCAGGCACGGATGTATTGCGCCCTTACAGTCATACCAAGTTGTGCCCCAATTTTGTCACGCAGCAACAACCTGGAACAAAACCACCTACCACCTGGTGCAGGATTTTGTCACGCAGCAACAACCTGGAACAAAACCACCTACCAACTGGTGCAGGATTTTGTCACGCAGCAACACCCTGGAACAAAGCCACCTACCAACTGGTGCAGGATTTTGTCACGCAGCAACAACCTGGAACAAAACCGCCTACCAACTGGTGCAGGATTTTGTCACGCAGCAACAACCTGGAACAAAACCACCTACCAACTGGTGCAGGATTTTGTGACGCAGCAACAACCTGGAACAAAACCGCCTACCAACTGGTGCAGGATTTTGTCACGCAGCAACAACCTGGAACAAAACCACCTACCAACTGGTGCAGGATTTTGTCACGCAGCACCAACCTGGAACAAAACCACCTACCAACTGGTGCAGGATTTTGTCACGCAGCAACAACCTGGAACAAAACCACCTACCAACTGGTGCAGGATTTTGTCACGCAGCAACACCCTGGAACAAAACCGCCTACCAACTGCTGCAGGATTTTGAAATGTTGTCCATTCATGTTAGGAGGCCGGCAAGTAGGAAGCAATGCGTGGTGAAAAACATATCCCACGGTCCTCTCCAAATGGCGCGCTTATACACGGAAACTGGAACGTA